ATTGCCGGCGCCGCTGCCAAAGCTGATAAGGCCGCCTGCAGGCTGAAGCCAGTCAGAGCCGCGCGCACATGCAGCGCGGGGCATGCCCGGAGAGCGTGCCAAGGCGACCGGCAGCTGTTTTCCTTATTTCAAAACCTTGATAAGGTTTTAAAATCCCGAGACCACGGGCTGGCTGGACCATGGGAAGTTCCACTAGTACTGCCGAGTTAATCAGGGAACATTTGGAGAGGGGGAAGAGGAGGAGGAGGGGGAGGGGGAGGAGGGGGAGGAGGAGGAGGAGGAGGAGGAAGAGGGGGGGGATATTAACAATTTAGATGCCACGCCACCCACGCCAGCCAAGGAACGCGGCGTTCGATCTTCCGGTTTGCCGTCCGGCTGCTGCACGGTCCAAGAGGGGCTCCGCCTCGGGCCTCGATGGCGCCCCCTACCTTGCGCGGCCGCGAGCAGGCCCCCGCGCACAGGAAGCCTTCTCAACATTGCACAGGCACCTCCTGGCTGGATGCCCCGCGTAGGACAATTCCAACAAATTTCGGGCGGCATTTCTAAATGGGGGAGATCTGGTCGGCGGAGGGGGAAATGCGGGATCCAGCTGCCGTTCGTCCTCTTCCTCTTTCCAAGACAGGTAATAAGCTAGCTGGCGCCGGCATCACCGCTGCCTTTAACGAAGCTGCCGCCGGCAAATTTCACCAGAGTCAGGGGGTCCGTCAGGGGCGATGAATGATCGCATCATCAACATGGTCGGCGACTTTGGGAAGCATGGGCATTGGGCCAGGATGGGCACGAAGCAGGGACGCCCGTTAAGCGGAGCGTTGTTCGCTCTTGCCGCCGACCCGCTCATCCGCTATCTTGCGCATTTGAAGCCGACTCTTGGGTTCGACCTGGGCGCGTTCGCCGGCGACGTTCATTGGGTGCCCAGGTATTCGTTTCAGAGCATTGCCGACGATTGTTGAATGGATGGGTCCACCTGTTTAATCGCCGGGCTAGTGCCCGACCACCGCAAGTGCATCGATCGCGACGTTGCGCTCTGAGGCAGGAGATCCAGGAGGTCTAGGAAGGTGTCTTGGCCCAGGGGCCCGACCTCGCCTCCTACCGGGTCGAGCGCTCCGGGGAGTTCCTGGGGGCCATCATCCGGCATGGTGCAGTTTCCGAGGGTCTCCGTCTCCGCTAAACCCGGGACGAGGGCCGAGGACGCCCGGAAGTTAGGTCAGAGTTCCACCCAGTCCATCCAAGGGTTGAACACCTACGCGCTGCCTGTTGTTGTTAACGCTGACCAGCTAGGTCGGCCGACGGCGGCTCTCCTGCGGCGCGAGAGGGAAGCCCGCCACCTCCTGCCCAGCGCCCCCCGCCATGCCTTCCCTCCCAGAAGAATGTTCCACCTGGGCGAGCCGGGGGCCCCGTTCGGATGTAGATCAGTGGACGCGCTGCGTAGGGCCCCCACGTGGCGCGCAGCTATTCCGACGGAGCAGTTCGACCTCATGCAGGAGCGCTTTCAAGAGGCCTTAGAGGATGGCGACCGCGCCCCAGCCCGCAGGTTGAACGAGTACTTCGATCGGTCCATCTTTGGCCACGTGCGCAAGGCATCCCAGAATTTCACGTCGACTCCCAAGGCCCCCGTGGACAACCCCGCGAAGTTGCCCCAGAGTGCCATGGCGAAGTTCCTCTTGCAAAATCGCCCACAGTTATCTGCTAGTCAACTTGTTCGTGCCCGTGTCTACGATTGGATGCCCATTGCCACCCGTGCAGGTGATGATTTATTAGCGCTTCGATTTTACGCATTGGGTAAAAACGCTGCTTAGATTCATCCTCACATCCTCAACTATAGTAGCGTGCACTGCCTGGCCGACCAGGAGATCCAGGCAAGCCACCAGCGCGCGTGACTTCGGGCGCTGTAACTTAGGTGCCGGCAACATTCCACATTATTTCACCTGTCCCACACTTGTCCCTGCCATTCGCTCTCTCATTGCATCGTTGCCACCCGGGTAGGGGTACTTGGCCCTTTTTGTTTTCTGCTTCACCTGCGGCCATCCCCCCCGGCGCTGCTGAATGCGCGCACTCCTGCGCCGTCGCCGTCGATTCGCTGTCCCTTTCTTCCGGCGGCTGCCAGCGCAAAGGAAGGCAGGACCGAATATTTGCACAGAAGGCCATCAAGGGGCGAGCGCGGTGCGCAGCGGCTCGATCCACGCAGATAGCCGACCTGCCGCGCTAACGGGGGCGGTGCTCCTCTTCCCCCCCCCGCCCTCTTCTTCGAAAATACCATGTGACGCGTCCGACCCAATTGCATCCAGCGACAAGAGGAGTTGACCCAAACTTGCCAGGGCAACGACAGCGCAGGCCCCGCCGCGCGCTGCGCAACCTACGCGGGATGCGCCCACGGGGCACGATTCACAGGACAACAACAGAAGGACGACGAATGTGGAGACGGCGTTCCCGTCTCTGGGCCGCCAGTGGTTGTTCGAGATTCCGAATAGGATTGGGCCCCCGCCAGGTTTCCTGAACTTTATCCACGCGTTATACTTTTTACCCTGAGGCCTTGCTAAGATTCAAAATCGAATCGCTTTCCGGTTTCATCTCTGCTCGGGGGTCTTGCAGGGGTGCCCTTTATCTGGTTATCTCTGGGGTCTTGCACTGGACCCCATCCTGAGATGCCTGCGCGCGACCACGCAGCTCCCGCAGGCGAGGCACCACAAGGGCTCTCTTGGGGGTTGTGCTGACGATGTCGGAATGGTGGTGCCTCGCCTTCGAGACCTGCAGTTGGTGTTTCCCGTGTGTTTCTGCAGGTTGAGCGTTTTGCCTTTCTCAGGCTCCACGGGGCCAAATATGTCCTCGCCCCACTGTAGACCGAGTGCACGGAGATTTGTAGGTGGATCCCGCAGTGGGCCAATTTTCAGATCGCTCGCCATACTGTCTACCTAGGGGTCGAAATGGGCCCTGCAGTCACACTTGGCATGATCTGGGCTACCGCAGCGGAGAAGTGGTGGTCGAGGACGAGAGCCCTGCCATACTCTGGAGCTGGCCCGTCTGTTCTTTCAATCCTGTACACCACCGCCACTCTCTCGACCCTCTCGTACCTCGCCCAACTGTTCCCCGCCCCTGCTACGATTCGAAAACTCGAGCATCAGGCTTTGCACAAGCTGCTCAGGCTGCCGCCGAACAGCCTCAATCTTGCTGATCTGAACGCTCTGCCATCCGTGCTCGCCATTGCCCCGCCCTCTGTCTCTCTGCTTGGATGGGCTAGCAGCTGGCGCACCTCTTTTCGCATTATGAATCATACACGGCAGCGTGCACTGCGAAGTTTGACAGGATATGCCCAAGACAATGCCACGATAGTTCGCTTCATTGCAGGAAAATGCTCAGCGCCCTGCTGGAAGCGTCCTTTTCTCAATCGCACCATTCACGGAGCGGGCGAGGCTTCCCCCCCCCCCCTTTTCCTTGACAAGCCAAGATGGCACGCGGCGTTTCGCGCAGCGCGTGAACACACCAAACTAGCCATCCAGGAAGCCCGTCGCCCGCACCCACAGCGCATTTTTGCGCGCACGCTTTGAGCAGCCGCTTGTCCTGCTTCTTTCCTTGTGACGTTGGGCAAAAGGCTTCTCGCGCGGCAGGTCCCGATTCCTGGGGGGCGGAGGTCGGTGGTCGGACGGTGGGATGGATCTCTGTCGGACCTGCATCGCGAGGCTCAAGCCTGCCTGGCAATGGACTATTATCAAGACCGCCTGCGGAGCGTGGGCGACCACGCACAGACTGCGCATAGGCAACGCCCCCACGAGCTGCATGTGGGGTTGCGCAGAGCTTAACGAGATTGCACACGACCTGCGTCGCTCGAGAATGTATCACCATCTTGCGATGCACCCTGCGTGGAGACTGCGCCACTTCCCAGGCTCACCGATTGCACTGTTGGGACTGGGGGCGGCGTCTGACTACGGGCGGGCGGAATCGGAACTCTCACGTGAGGAATGCCTTAAGGCAGTTGCATTGGCTTTTCATATGTATCACAAAGCGACAGACTTCGCTCAGAAGACGCCTATGCCTCTGGAGTGCGCATACGACATTCGAGGTGCGGCAGAACTAGCACTCGAGCGGTGAGATGCTATCACCGATACTGTGCTCTGTTCTTCAATCTATTCCTTGGGTGGTAAATTTGCTGGTGGTGGGACTTGGGATAGGGGGGGATCGTTCGATGATCCAGTGGCGACGGCATGTTGCGGTCGATGGGTCTCCCGCAGTTCCTTGTGCCTCTCTTCTTCCACCTCTTTTTCTTTTTTGCCCTCGCTTGCGAGGCCGATATCTAGCTAATGGTCTGTTTCGAGCACCATCTTTTTGTGGGCCCTGCTGGTGGCGGAAGTGGCAAAGGGTTGCGACGCCCCTCGGGAGGCCGAAAATGAACCCAAGCGCCACCCAGCTGGGGCCCACTCTCCCTCCGTCGATGCGCTTGTGTCGACCGAGGTCGCGGGCCAGTGGTCGGACGGACCTTCTTGGGTACGTCGTCTCCTCCTCCTCCTTGTCCTCCTCCTCCTCCTCCTCCTCCTCCTCCTCCTCGTCCTCCTCCTTTTTTTCCTCCTCCTCCTCCTCCCCCTCCCCCTCCTCCTCCTCCTCCTCCTCCTCCTCCTCCTCCTCCTCCTCCTCCTCCTCCTCCTCCTCCTCCTCCTCCTCCTCGTCCTCCTCCGCCTCCCCCTCCTCCTCTTTCTTCCTCCTCCTCCTCCTCCTCCTCCTCCTCCTCCTCCTCCTCCTCCTCCTCCTCCTCCTCCTCCTCCTCCTCCCTCCTCCTCTTCCTCCTCCTCCTCCTCCTCCTCCTCCTCCTCCTCCTCCTCCTCCTCCTCCTCCTCCTCCTCCTCCTCCTCCTCCTCCTCCTCCTCCTCCTCCTCCTCCTCCGCCTCCTCCTCCTCCTCCTCCCCCCCCATCCTATAGCTAGTTCGGACCCCTGCGCGCGCCCGCTCTGGCTCGAGCGAGCTCAGCCCGCACCTGCGCCGCCCGTCGGGCGCGGCGCCCGCCCGGGCACGGGCATGGCGGCCGCCGCCGCTGCCCCCCCCGAGAAGGAGCCGTTGCGGCTGGCGTGGGCGGCGCAGCTGCGGAAGGCCCAGCAAGCCGACTCGTGGGGCCAGCTGGTGGAGGCCCAGGAGCCTGAGGAGGAGAAGGTACCGATGCCGCTTCCCTTCCTTCGTTTTCCCCTGTTGGGGCCTCCTGGGAGGTCCTCGTCGCCACGGCTGGATTCGCCACGAAATCTGGGTCAGGACGCACCCCGAGAGAGGTCCGGGGATTAGCGCTAGCGGTACCCGTGGGCCTCCGCAAGGAAGAGTACCAGAACATGGCCGCCTCCGTGGCGTCCAAGCAGTGCATGCCCTCCATCACGAGCAAGGACCGTTTGACAACCTTCACCCCGCCGGATGAAGGCAGCTCGGCATCTTGAGGGCCATGCTGGGCCTGGGAAGGGCTCCGGTTTCGTGAGGGGTCATATGCCCATCGCGTATCTCCACCAGTCCATCGAAAAACGATGCTCAGGCGAGTTGTCGCTCGCTAGAAGAGAGAAGGGAAGCACATTGTCAAACAAAGAGGGGGCACCCATGAAAGTGAAGCTGGGATCAAACCGAGAACCCGCAACAACAACAAACATTGGAAAATCTCTGAGTTCCTGGGTTTCTGAGGGCCGACGTGGGGACCTTCGAGGCCCTCTTGCGTTTCTCTTGGGGCCATCGTTGGGTCCTGTCGGGCACGCTTGGAGCCATCCTAGAAGCCATCTCCCCCAAAAGAGGGATTATCAGCTAATCCTGTCCGATTGGAGCCTCAACAATCGTCTCCTGAAGTCCTTTTGGGGCACCCTGAGGGTGTTCGATGCAGGGCGTTCTGGCCCGGTCTCTGGACTGGCCTGGGCCATCTTGAGACCATCTGGAGGGCTCGGAAGCCCATCAAAGGCGACAAAGCAAAAGTCACCGAGCGCGCTCCACTACTCGCAAAGTGCCTACTCGCAAATGTCCGACAAGAAACATGTTTGCTTCGATGCAATAAATCGTAAGTCCCCAGTGGCGGATCCAGGCCATTTGCGAGCAGTTACTTTGCGAGTAGAGAAACGCGCGTGTATAAAGAAAGGTCCATAAGTCCCTGAAACTACACATGCCATGGGCATATGCGTGACATCCTTGGGAGGCACTGTGTACACCTCGGGCCGTCTTGCGGTGGTCTTGGCACATCGGTGGCATGCTGGAGGCCCTCTGGAACCAACTTGGATCATTATTTGACAATCCTCGAGACCATCTTTGGCTATCTGGGGCCATGCTGGAGCCATGTTTGGATAGGGTCAGGAACACCATGTCGCGCCACCAATTCTGGACCACTGCGCTTCAACGCGACACCCCAACCACGCCCCAGTCCCGAAACGTCAACGTCCCGAGCCTGTCCCAGCCTCCCGCCCCACGGAGCGGAGCGACACGCTGTCACCTCTCCAGGCAAGGCGTGTCGCCGGGGCCGCCGCCGCGACACGCTGAGTAACAGTTCCTGGCCGTAGACGCCGACGCTGCATTCGCAGACAGGCCCAGGATCAGGATGAATCGCTCCAGAGCGTGCCGAAGTGGTCTGAACCAGCCTCGGCGCCCGATACATCCTCCATGTGCACGCCTAGCAGCTTTCAGGGATCCCCGGGTTGTTCCGGTCCGAGGTTGTCCCGATCCTGGCTTCATCTTGCGGCCCTCCACGCCCAGGACCCGGGGGAGGACTGCCCCGATGCCTCGGGCCACTTTCCCTGAGATCCGACGTTGCAAGCACAAATACATGGCATCGCAAGACATCGCGACTGGAGCCCCGGACCCCAGTCCCTCTGCGTTATTTTTCGAGCTCAATCGATCTGCGATGGTCCTGGGGCCCGAAACCGAGCGAAGACGCCCGTTGCGCAACACAGATGCAACGCCAAGATTGCAGGTCTCTTCCAGCGCCGCAGTTCGTGGGGCCGCTGCGCGCGCGGTTCAGTCTTGGGCCAGGTGCGGCCCGACCAAGGCGAGGCAGGCCTCCGAGATGGCGTTCGAAGGGCTACGCTGGCCCGAGCTGGTTTCCAGCATTGCGTCCATACGGGGCGCTCCAGAAAGGGCCTCGCCCCCCGAGGATAGAAGGAGCTGGCATCCCCGGCCGAAGGCCAGCAGAAGTAAGCCGGGAGCGCCTCTCGCCTACATGTGAGAGTGACCTTCGCCAGGGTGACCTTTGGTGCGGGCCCACTTGGGCGCCCCGATCGCTGAACGTCCTCCAGAGATGGCCCTGGCGGAGTAAAAGTTGGCCCTCCAGAGATGACGTGTTTTCCGGTCCAGGCGTTCGGGAACCCACCACATGCCCCAAGAACTCCCCGCCGAAGAGGCCAACACGAGTGGAACAAACATTGTATACCGCTTCTCCAGCTTCTGACAAGATGGCTCGAAGATGTTTCGAGAGGGGCCCAGATGGGCCAGCTGATCGCTTAGAGAGCTCAAATGGGTCCCCCCAAACCCTTATGTCTGAGGCTGCGCGCCACAAAATGTTCACTCAGCCCTACAGGCCCCAAACCGGGGCCGCAGCAGCACCCCAAAACAGCACCTCTGGAAAGAGCCCCTGACAGGCTCACAGGAGGCACCTCTCGACACTCAGGTCGGAACCCCCTTGTCCGACGTGGCCGCAGCTTTGGACCGTCGGGCGTCGAGCAATGGGGGTACGATAAATGCGGGGGTGGAGAAAGGCGCACCTTTCGTGCCCTAAAGGGGCCCCCTGGGGCCCAACGGGGGCACGAACGGAGCACCGTTCTCCCCCCCCCCCATTTTATCGCTCTCGGTTTCCCCAGCGGCGATACAGCGATCATCACAGCAGGCAGCGGGAAGACAGCTGTGCGGAGATGCCGTGCGCCGCGCCAGGTTGTCTGAAGTGCGCACGTGCCTGCCACGAGGCGTCGCAAGAGCAACCCATCGAGTAGCGCGCGACTCCCCAGGAGGAGGTTCGTCCGCGGCTCGCCCTCTTCTCCACGGTTGGCCGAGGGCGGCCCGCCGCACTGCCGAAGCCTCCAGGCCACAGGCGGGGGGGTCATACTCAGTGTGTTGCACCTCGACTGGCGGCTCGACGGGCTCCGCCTTCCTCCCCGATTTCTCCAGGGCCAGCGCGGTGGATTTCGAGAAGCGCGGGTGTGGGGAAAGGGGGTTCGTTCCCCGGAGAGGCAGGAACGGGCTGGAAGAGTCGAAGAATAAAAATTTGCATGATCACAAACTTTCGACGGTCCTCAAGGATCTCTTGGATCTGCGCTTGGACCCTTTGACGGCGCCGCCGGCGCCGCCCCTGGCCCGCTCCGCGCTACTGGTACTACTACTACTACTACTACTACTACTACTACTACTACTACCACCACTACTACTACTACTACTACTACTAGTACTACTACTACTACTACTACTACTACTACTACTACTACTACTACTACGACTACTACTACTACTACTACTACTACTACTACTACTACTACTACTACTACTACTACTACTACTACTACTACTACTACTACTACTACGACTACTACTACTACTACTACTACTACTACTACTACTACTACTACTACTACTACTACTACTACTACTACTACTACTACTACTACTACTACTACTACTACTACTACTACTACTACTACTACTACTACTACTACTACTACTACGACTACGACTACTACTACTACTACTACTACTACTACTACTACTACTACTACTACTACTACTACTACTACTACTACTACTACTACTACTACTACTACTACTACTCTACTACTACTACTACTACTACTACTACTACTACTACTACTACTACTACTACTACTATTACTACTACTACTACTACTACTACTACTACTACTACTACTACTACTACTACTACTACTACTACTACTACTACTACTACTACTACTACTACTACTACTACTACTACTACTACTACCACTACTACCACCACTACTACTACTACTACTACTACTACTACTACTACTACTACTACTACTACTACTACTACTACTACTACTACTCTATTACCTACTACTACTACTACTACTACTACTACTACTACTACTACTACTACTACTACTACTACTACTACTACGACTACTACTACTACTACTACTACTACTACTACTACTACGACTACTACTGCTACTACTACTACTTTACGAATTACTACGACTACTACGACTACTACTACTACTACCACTACTACTACTACTACTACTACTACTACTACTACTACTACTACTACTACTACTACTACTACTACTACTACTACTACTACTACTACTACTACTACTACTACTACTACTACTACTACTACTACTACTACTACTACTACTACTACTACTACTACTACTACTACTACTACTACGACTACTACTACTACTACTACTACTACTACTACTACTACCTACTACCACTACTACTCCACTACACTACACTACGCTACGACTACCACTACCACTACCACTACTATACCACTACCCACTACCACTACCACTACCTACTACTACTACTACCTATACTACTACTACTACTACTAGTATGACTACTGTTCCTACTGCTACGCTTCTTTCTACTACTACTACTACTACTACTCTTCTACTACACTTCTACTACTACTACTACTACTACTACTACTACTACTACTACTACTACTACTACTACTACTACGACAACCACTACTACTACTACTACTAACTACTACTACTACTACTACTACTACTACTACTACTTACTACGACTGCGACTACGACTACTATTACGACTACTAACTACTGCTCTACTAGTATTAGTAGTAGTACTACTACTACTACTACTACTACTACTACTACTACTACTACTACTACTACTACTTCGACGACTACGACTACGACTACGTCTACGACTACTACAACTATGCTACTAGTACAACTACTATCTCGACTACTACTACTGCTACTACTACTACTTTTACTACTACTACTACTACTACTACTACTGCTACGACTACTCTTACTACTACTACGACTACGACTACTACTACTACTACTACTGTTACTCCTACTACTACTACTACTACTTTGATTACTACTACTACTACTACTACTACTACTACTACTATTACTACTACCACTGTAACTACTAACACGATGACGACCCCGATCACCTCCTACGAGTAGTACTATTAGTAGCAGTAGTAGTAGTAGTAGTAGTAGTCGTAGTAGTAGTAGTAGTAGTAGTAGTAGTACTCGTACTAGCACTAGTAGTAGTACTATTATTAGTACTAGTGGTAATCGTGACCGCTGTTCTTTTATTATTTGTAGTATTAGTAATAGCAGCACGAGAGGGATTACGACTACTACTACTACTACTACTACTACTACTACGG